CAAACTATTGTCCCAATATTCTGACATCCTTCGGAACAGCTTCATCTATTTAGTGCCCGAAACAGCCTTTTATAGTCTAATCGGACTGGACTAAAGGGTGCAAAGCAATGGTGTCGCGGTCGTGTCGAATTAAGCCGCGTCTTGATCTAACGCGACGACACAGCGACACGAGCGCCTCATGCGCGTCGGGCCTTTAAAGTTGTTTCCAGTGAATACCAATTAATCTGTAGGGTTTTAGGGTATAAAAAAGTAAACCGGCCTTCACACTTTATTTCGCGATTCTCTTTCATCTGCTGTCGAAAAACCGACGGAGGGATGAATTGCAACGAACTTCCGGCGCGATTACATGTGTACCAAGTCCACCATTGATGTTTTACTTGAGACACTAGAGTCGCGTTCAGTCGCTCAGTTTCAACAGTTTTTCTGAAATTTACCTCACGAATTGATCTCTTGAACTGATCTGTTGCGGCTATAGACGCACCACTCAAACCACATCACACATGACCGAAACCATACCTTAACAAAGTACGATTTGCCGTTATGCCGCGTTCAGACTAATGCGACGTGAGCGTTACAACACCGTGACGAGCTCGCGATGTATCAAAAGCTCAAGTCTTCTTACGCTTACGTCGCATCTGATCTCGACGCTGCATTCCGAAATACGTCTACATACTGGACTTTAAAAATATGTTTTTTTTGTTATAAATACATCCCTAGAAGCGAAACATTTTTAAGACTCAGGATGTGGAAATTTGTATGTGTGTGTATGAATATGTAAAAAATGCTGCAGCCGATTTGAATGAAAGAAAATTGCAAAGCGGCTTTCCATACTAATTAACTAAATAATTTAACACTTAGAAATGGTTTTGGAATTTGGGCACTCAAGGAAAGATGATTTCACTGGAAACATTTCCGTGTGATCTATTGAAAATAAAGCGCTTGCCTCCGACTATCCCAACATATTAATTTTAAACTCAGCTAATCCCGTTTTTGTTTCAGGTCGGGACAGATTCACACACCACAATGATTAATGGTCTGGGCGTGTTGGGCTGGGGAGTGGGCGGCATCGAAGCTGAGGCAGTCATGCTGGGCCAAACCATCTCGATGTTGCTGCCCGAAGTGGTCGGTTACAAGCTGCATGGAAGCTTAGGGCAATACGTAACATCTACCGACCTCGTGCTCACTATAACGAAGGTGATTTCAGTTAAATATTTTCAAGCTGTTGTACTAAAAAGCCTCCGGTTTAGAATCTGCGACAATTGGGAGTGGTTGGCAAGTTCGTAGAATTCTTCGGGCCCGGAGTCACGGCTCTTTCCATTGCTGATCGCGCCACCATTTCCAACATGTGCCCCGAATACGGCGCAACTGTTGGCTTCTTTCCCGTGGACAAAACGTCGCTCACCTATCTGAGGCAAACAAGTAGGTGTTTCTAGATCGATTTCTGGATCGCCTGTAATGTTGATTATAGATAGGTCGGAAGAGCAAGTGGAGCTAATTGAGGCGTACTTGAAGGCGACGAATCAGCTCAGAGACTACTCAGATGACAAGCAAGAACCGGTTTTTAGTCAAATCGTCAGTCTGGATCTTTCAACTGTGGTGTCGTCGGTTAGTGGGCCAAAAAGGCCCAATGATCGCGTTTCAGTCTCCGAGATGAAAGATGATTTTCTAACATGCCTGACCAGCAAGGTGAGTGATTGGTGATTGTTTCATGTATTTTATTTTATCCACGGAAAATTAGCTCTAGCTGCACCATACAGCGTATTTGAGCAAGATGTGCATTTTCTACATCTTGTATGATGGACACAAAAAATAATCTTTTGGATAGTTTGAGAGGGTAGAGAAAAAATAATTGAGAGGAGTGCAATTTTGATGTCGTATTTCGCTTTTTGGTACGAATTCAGCTGAAAACGAGTACCAAGATCGATGAGTGATTTTAAGGAAAAAAAATTGGTTTAGAGCAGAATTTTTTTTGTTTTGGGGCTTGTTTTGTGCTGAATTTGTTTCAGAAGAGCCGAAATGCAAAAGCAATTCGTCCGAGATTAATTGCAAGTCAGCGACTTGTAAAGTGTCGCTTTGAGCGTCGATTTCTGGCAGGTATTTCTGTAATTTCGGCAACTAGTTTTAATCTATGGATGTTCCGGCATCATTATCTTTAAACCACTTAAGTGTGAAAAATGACTGGGGCATTTGGAAAACTCGAGAGCTACCAGTTTTTCCAGGGTTAACGTGGAAATGTTGGGTTTTTCAAAGCAAGGGTTATAAAAAATCAGTGCAACAATGTCGATTTTCCTGGGGGATTTTTTGGGATCAAATCATTCGTAAATTTTATTTATATCAAGAAAAATGAGGGACAATATTTCCATTTTCATTAATAAAATGCGTCCCTCTGGTAACTCGATATTTTAATTTGTAAGAAGTATTTATTCAAATCTAATTAATGGAAGTTTGCTGGAAAATGGTCAGTTTTATCGATGTTAAAAGAGCACTTTGCTTTAGTTTCGGGTTCAAGCTGTCTAGAAATAGCTTTCTTGTGCCTTTAGAAGTCTTGCTTGATTCGTGCGGAACTTAAGCACCAAAATGAATTCCGAAGACACTGTTTTAACGCGCTTTAACTATCATATAAAAAAATTTAAATTATACCAAGTATCTTCAAATTATTTAATAAAAACTGGTTTTTAGCAATAGGAACTTTGCTATAGGTTTAGTCACTATAAGAATATTCGAGCCATCTTGCTATTATCCAGGGTTACTTAGTATACGTAATCATCAGACTAAATAGAGAGAAAAACCTGTTTTATTGTTTTTTTAATGTAAACAATTGATGAAAGAGGTAAGAAAACAGGTTTTTTTGCGCAAAAATTATGAATGCTGCAGTATTTTGCAAATAGCACACAAACACCAATAAAGCATTCGTGCATCAATTCAAAAACCATTTTGAACCAAGACTCAAGAATTCACTTGAGTTCATATGATAATTCAAAAAACATACTCGTAAGTTTTTTAAAGAACTTTGATCATTAATAGCGCAGAAGAGCCTGTAATTTTGTCTGAATAAAAGTTACGTCAGATCATCTTCGTTTGTACAGGGCTATTGATTGAACTTTGTCCACCCGATTTTTACATCTAATTTGAGATTCAGGAAAAAACATTAAATACAAAAGTTTTAGATAATAACGTCTAGTTTATTTTAACATAATACCTATTGATACAGGGTGTCTCAAATTCAAGTCGCGGCTCAAACTTACATGTTTTTAAATAGAATGCCGCACTTTTTATTGCATATTCGTACTACACACAAAATTCTACAAGGGAAATTTATAAAAAAAAACTGTTCAACTTACATCGCCAAACTGAAATTTTCGCACCACAAAGAAAAAGGCTTTATCGAAAACTGGACCAAATTTCACTAAAATCCCCACTTTTGCTGATTTTTTGAAGAATGTTAAACTTGACAAGATATAAAAAAAACTTACAATTTGAAGTTTAGTTGGACAAAAATTCGTAACTCCCAAACCACTTATAGGGATCAACATACCGAAATTTTCGCACCATAAGGAAAAAGGTTTTATCGAAAAGCAGACCAAATTTCAACAAAATCACCACTTCTGCTGATTTATGAAAAGATTTTAAACTCAAGAAATAAAAAAAAATCGTGCAACTTGAAGTGCAGTTAAGCAAAAATTCGTAATTCCCAAACCACTTACATCAGCAAAATGAAATTTTCACTATAAAAAACAAGGTTTTATTGAGAAGGCAACCAAGTTTACTAAAATTCCAACTTTTCAAACTGTTTCAAACATTTTTCAAACTTGACAAAAAAATAAAAAAATGCCGAACTTTGAGTGCAATTAGCAGATTAAAATTGGCCAAGTTCGATTAATATTGGTTATTAACTGAAAACCAGTTGAAGATCAATATATGTAGAAGATTCATACCGAATTGGCCTAGAATTTTGCGTATAATTCGAATATGAGGTAAAAAGTACGGCATTCCATTTAAAAAAGGTAAGTTTGGTCTGCCACTTGAATTTGAGATACCCTGTATCAATTGATATTATCTTAAGATAAACTAGACGTTAATATCTACAACTTTTATATTTAACATTTTCCTCTAAATATCAAATTAGATGCAAAAACGGGGTGGACAAAGTTCAAGCAATAACCCTGTACATTCTGTATGTTGCCAATGTCTGCGATATCGAGCAAATCTTCCAAAAAGTTAGCCATATGCAGGCTGTGTGGTGAGAAATTTGAGTCGATAGGAACTTTTTTTGGGAAAAAAGTTTAGACAAAAACAGTCCCAAATTTGCTTTGTTTTTGAGGTACTGGCTCTGTTACAGTTTAATTAAAACTTTTGCTAAATTTCAGTAGAATTTTTCCTAATTTTGCTATGACTATATAATTTTGGAGTTGCGTGTTTTGTGAGTTCGGCAGTTCAAATATCTTATTAGTTCGCTTTTAACGCCTAACTGGAGTACCATGAAGTTATGTCGAATTTCCTTTGAATCGCGTCTCATTCGCTGATGTTTCGTACGCAACAACGTGTTCTTGGTGAAAGTCGGTTGTCGGTGAAAGTTGGTGTCTCGCAGTGTTTTTGAGCCATTTCCTTTCACTAACTAAAACCGACAGCAAAGAAGACATTGCATTGTCATAACGAAACATTTAAATTTACCAATTTGAAAATGTTTTGCTTGCAGATTTAAAAAAAATACATTGTTTACATATCTATTAATTTTTAATAGCACTTGCCAAATGGGAGTTAGTAGCAAGAAGTTGGCAAAAGTTTAAATATATTTTTAGTTTAATAAGAATTTAACTTTTACAGAAATATTTGAGTTTTGATCAATTGAAGGTTTCTTCTGCATTCGCTGAACAGAGGCCCACAATTTCTTCATAATCTTCGACAACTTTGATCGTCTCAGGACAATTTGATTCAACTGGATTCGATTAACTTTGTTTCGAGGCATTCGAGCTCCGTAAATTAATASTCCTTTCTCGGTATAATGACGTGGTTTTAGAATTCACATCAGCGATCACTTGGCCTTCGTATAAACCATTCAATTCCAACGTTGTCCACCCCTTAATCGASCTGCTTCACTAAGTTCCTCTTGTTCCACGAATGCATCTTTATTCCTGTTAGTTTAACTCGGTGTAAACGGAAGATCAGTGACTGCTTCTTTTAAACTTCCAAGAAGAAATTCAATAAAGTGCATGCCTGCCGTGCTTTTACTCAATGATGATTAAGCTTTATGAGATATTGAAACAATCACAAGCCAGATCACCAAAGGGAAGAAGCTGCCGGTGTTAGAAAAACCAGCGGTGTGTTCAAGAGCAGTGTAAGCAACCAACGCTGCGATACAGAACATAATACGTATCACATCGGCAGTTCCTTTAATCGCTTCTTTGATAACGTTTCCCGTCTCCTGTCGATGTTTGTTCGATATGCTTCCGGGCATCTACTAAAGCTTTATGTGAATCAAACTGGCATAGAGACTAAAGTAGTTGCTCGAAAGCAAATCGCAACCGGTAAAGAAGGTGTGACCAGGATGCTTTGGAGGCGCTCTTTTATCGATGATGGCAGAGAAAACATATACAGAGGTTAAATCCCGGTGACAGACTGCAAGATCACTGTCCAACCAGCATTCAACCTCTGCAATGTGGCCCCTAAGTTGAGTACCGTGCAATCTGATAGTGCTGAAGTGGGATGCCTTTGAAAGACGAGCAAATCCCAGTGACGATTTCAAGATTACCGCCACCAGGATGTTGCCAGTCTTCCAACTGTATCCAAATCCAAGTTGATGAAACAATATCGGTTTCTTCTCTGATGGGACTAATCGAATTGAATAATTCGCATCAGTCGATTATTGGAAGAGTCGAATTTGTTCGATTCACTTCGTTCAATTCAATAGTGGTCTTTGCATTTTATTCGARTTCTAGATGTTTATTTTYCGGAACGCATTCAATCGAGGAAACGTAAATGAARAGAAAAACGTTAAAGAAGGGATCTGAAGMTKGAAAACACTCAGAAAATGGAAAAATGTACGAAGATGCTGCAGGGSAAGATCATGGCGCCTGGCYAAGGTCAATRGTCGAACAGTTGAAGCGATAGCGGTTCTGAATAAACCTACAAAGGATTTGAAGACGAGAGAGAAGRGAAGAAGAGAATAAAATTAATCGGAATTCAAAACTCACTCCTATTTATTCCACATTATTATTACCTGTTATATAATTTTYAAAAACAAGTGCGCACACTTTATAGTGTGATTTTCTATATGGATGTTTGTCAAACTCTYAAAAATCAGTGAAGCTTCTAAATTCGYTACAATTTGAGATTTGGCGAGTGAAAAATATTGAGATTTGGTGAGTTTAAAAGAGAATTAAATTCRGCTGGACTTTGGGAGCTGAATTGGSAGTTTAATTGTGTGCTTTTTTGTTTCAAAWTTCGTAAGTTGTAAACCACGGCTGATAAACGGCTSAAATTTGGAACCTRTGTAAAAGAAGGTTCAGTTCAAATGTAAAACGAACCACACTGAATTTTGTGAAACGAACCACAYTGAATCCACTYYCTGGATTTTTRAAAATGCTAAAAACTTTTGTCTAAAAATCGCATTCTTAAGTGCGCGTTGCATCTTAAGCTCCTAATTTAGAATKTTAATARATTTTTKATTTTTTTACCTACATTTTTTT